AGAATCCCAGTCCTTGTCTTTTGCTTGTGTCTAATCTTTGCCCGCACCTGATACAGCTGTAGATGGGGTAAGAATCTGACCCCGATAGCGGTTTTGTTCTCGTTTTTGCTTAGCTCACGATGGAGGTTGTGATATGGTTGCATCTTGCATAATCAAAATTTCTGAAGCAATTAGACGATCCGAAGTCTGGCCCCGCGAACGCCGCACGAGAACACATGTAAACGCGATCCGAGTCGCGCCCTTACACGCATTCCCGTGCATCGATTCGCCCACCCAAAAAGATTCGTGGCGGAACCGTCATCCCGTACGAGCACGCTGGGGCGCCGCTAAGTCTGCCTGCCCTGCACGTGCTCGTGCGAGGCAACGATATCCCGACCCGAGCTATCCCATCGACGATGATACCATGACGCGATCTTGGAGCTCAGCCTGAGATTCATCCTACGACCCGAACTATTTCACCCCTTGGATAAACGAACTCATAAGGCTGCGATACCCCTGTCACACGGAGAATCGACTATGTCCGCGGGAATTCCACTGCACCACCTCTAGCGACCCTCGGTGCTCTGATTTCCCTTCCCCCGACCACACCTACTACTTTACCCACCCGGGATTTGTTGTCATCACCACCAGTTTCCCTCCTTTCCGCCTTCTTCTCCTGTATCATCAACTCAGCGTCATTCTGTGGCCGGCCATAGCCCTCTATTGGCCCAGTACATTTTGTGTGAACTGCCGACGTAGCGGCGAACAGAGAACTCCGGAATTTCGAAGGCCCAACCCAGGTGCGCGGCGGCCTGCGCCACGTGGCGGCCCCCGACGGCCTAACTTTTCGGGACCGCCTCCACCGCGGAGGGATTTCCCCGTAAACCGTCGCCCACAGTGCCCCGGCCCCACCGGACCGTGAGTCCCTTGCGCACGCACTCCTTATTCGCCTAATTGCATCCATACCCTTAAGACTCCCCCACTTTCCCAAAAATCCTTGGCACACCCCTTTTCGCACTTCCAGGCCCATACCCCACTCCGATCAGGAAGTCGCGCTGGGCGTGAGGTTGGGGCTTCACAACACAGGCATCGACGCAGCCACCGCACAGTGTGCAATTGCACTGCAGGCCGCCCACCTGCTGTAGCAGGTCTTGCACCTGCTGGTGGGTGCAGCTCCTGCATGTTCCCTCCTTGGAGGCTTGAGCACGGATGTGGCTGCTACGGGGTTCCCCATAATACCATAATGACAATACAAAAGGCCTGAAAGGCCGTCCTGTCCAGATTCGACAGGTAATTGATTTATTATTATTATTTTTTTTTTTTTGCTGCCTTCTCATCATCGGGGGACAGCCATATATTTTTCTCTCGCCTCACATATTTTTTAGCTGGCGTTCTGCCATGTCGTGGAACATATCTTTCTTTCACTACCTACCTACCACTATTCCTAAGGCTATACAGGGGACCCCTGCAAGTGTAGTAGCTTTCTATCTCACTTCAGTGAAGGGAGGTTACCTCTCTCGGTGGAGAGAGGTACCGGCATGTTTGCCCCTTTGCCCTAATGTTTAGAGTGCAGGGTTCGGGCCGCCGGTGGGGTCCCGGCTAACACAAGGACCCAGCATTTGCCAGTAACTGTACCTCCCTTTTCATCTTCCCCCACCCCCATCGACTAACAGTAGTGTCTGAAGCCAACACTCTCCCACACACCACACACAACCCACTCACAGGGGCACTCACACCCCCGTGTTGGCTGAAGACCTTACTAATACCAACTGTCAATTGGTTGGCCTTAAAAGAATTAGCCTTTATGACGGGAAAAAAAAACCTGCAGCCGAAGGGTGGGGGACGATGAGAAAGGGAGGCACAGCTACTGGCAGGTCTCGGTCTTTGTGTTAGCCAGACCCCACTGGCGGCCCCAACCCTATACCCTAACCATTAGGGGCAAGGGGCAACATGAAATCCCCCCTTCACAGAGAGAGGAAAACTATGCTTGCAGGGGTCCCCTCTAGATAGTCTTAGGAGTAGGTAGTAGAAGGTAAACAAAAACAGAAGTTGAGAGACGAATATAGACATTTGTGATCACCCCATAAAAATAAAAATAAAAAATTCAGAGAAGAATGTAGCTTAAAAAAAAAAAAAAAACACCCTTTTTGCCTCTCTTGTCCCTCCTACCTCTTGTCTGTTGATCCCAGAGACTGGGCCTGGGAACACCCTCTGCACCGAAATGAGAAGGTTCAGATACATCGATATTCAACTAAACTGGGATATTTGCTTTCAACTCCTCAGGTCGATGTTAATTGGAAGGTGGCCTGTAGATGGTTGGCGACTGGTTGGATCAGAGACTCACTGACAAGACTTTTGGAAGCCCTGCCCACATTCTGGGTGCATCTCATGGACTTGGTCGTTGTTAAACAAGCCAGCTTTCTTTGGCTTATGATGCACTCCCGGTAGCGGCCTGGTGTGCAAAACGAACAACTAAGGCACGGGCGGAATGTCAGATATGCTCTGGTACTCGAATGGAAGATTTGCAACACTTTGCGTTATACTGCGACATTTCTCAGCCTTTTTGGGACTGGTGGAGACACTCTGACATCCCAGTTCCCGAAAATGGATCCAGATGGTTAGATAACTTCGTGCTGATGGGAACTGCAGCAAGACGAGCACCTCTCTCTCTACGTTATACATATGCGGAAGAGACACTCAGAGGTGCAATACTATGGACCCTTTGGACATTGAGGAATTCAGCAACTAGACGTGGAGAGAAACTGACGCCACCAATGGTTCGAGCAGAGGTCAAATATGGCATTAAAACAGCAATGCAGGCTGACTGGGAGTATAGAGTACAGCGGAAAGGATTCACTAGAAAGGCAATGCAGCTCTTCACCACAAGGTGGGGCGCCTTTTCGGGCCTTGCATCGGTGGACTGTCCCCTGGCCCAATCGCCTTCTTTAGTTTTTTCAGGTTTTTTTCTGTGACTTCTCACTTGCATAATTTTAGAGTGGTAGGATTACTTGGTACTACGGTACTAGGGTATGGCCTATTGTGGAGGGCTACCAATTTACTGATTTGTCACCTTTTGTTGAACTAGATAGGATCTTTTACTTGGGATTGAGGTTGTTTTTTTCTGTTTTCTGTCGATCCAGATTACCGTGGTCCGGGCTCTGCTCGGCCGGAGAGCCTTGCTCAGCTCGAGAACTGCGGCACCTTTTGTGAGGGACGCTGGGCCCGTTTCCCAGCATATAATGATAATTGTTTAAAAAAAAAAAAAAGAAACAAAAAAAAAAGAAAAAAAAAGAAAGAAAAGAAAAGAAAAGAAAAGAGAAGTGGCAGAAACCAGGACAGAACGCCTTTTACTGACAGCCTTGGCGGGCTTAAACGGCCAGTAAACGGGCCCAGCCTTGTGGGAAAACGCTCGTCACCTACCCTGAAAATTTTGCAGCTCGGGCCTACCCGACCACGATGGCAAGAAAAAAAGTGTGCTGCTGGCGGTTTGGAAAAGCTTGGTGCGCAATAATAATATTTTTGGGTTCTACTTTTAATAAAAAAAAAAAAAAAAAAAATCTTGGGGCGCAGTGCAGCGCCTCCAAGCCCGCACGAGTGGCTAGCAGTCAAATCCCCCTAATTTTTTTATGGGTAATCCGTGCTGGTCAGACCAACCCTATACAACCTGTAACATCTCTAATCTTGTACTGTGTGCGACACTGGACCTGGTTTCCAGCATGTGATGCTCTCCACTCACATATACATTGGCGCTATCTACAACAGTTGAGCCTCCATCTGATTCAAAAGGGAGCCTGCCCTCCCACTGATAGGCAGTCACTAAATGATACGATGTTTTCTTTTTGCAGAAAACATGAAAACAAGAATAGGTAGCGGGCGTAGAGGGGGTGTCTGCTCTTACCAGCACCCCCCCCACGCTCGACCGCGATGCTTTCTTTTTTTTTTTTTTTTTTTTTTTAAAAAAAACAAGAATAGGACGGCACATCGAACAGCCCCAGAAGAATAGGACGGCAAATCGAACTGCTCTTACAAATAGTTTCGGGATGCTGGCCCCAGTTCCTGCCACGTGTTGTTCCGACTTGCTCCCCACGAATAAGAATGGAGCATTCAGGGATTTTTGCTGTGATTAGTCACCCGACTGATGTTGTCCATGCGCCTGTCACAGCGTGCCACTACCGGTAGTAGGCATCACGGCCTCTCGCGCTGGTCCAGCGGGCGCCATTTCCATAGTTTCTTGAGCGCGCGAGCAGGGATCGCCTGGTGTTGTCGGCGCCATTCATCCGCTGCGGTGGAACGCGGTTCGCGGAGCAGTTCCGCTGCGAGCTTGCGCGCTCCAGTGTGAGTCTATTGCCAGAGTCCGCGCGAGGGTTGACTTTGACGTTGACTTTGATGATCTTCGGGAGTGAGGTTTGTCGGCGTGACTCCGGGAGACCGTCTTGGATCTTGGAGTCGTCGGGATTCTAGCGTTTGTGTTTGGTTCGAAGGTTGGCTCAGCTGGGCGGCCCAGGTGGATTTCGGAGTACGACGGCCGTCAGGATACGAGTTTGACTTGAGCTTTTTTTTGAGTTCGACTTCGATAAAGTATTTGTGTTGACATTAACGTCTTGGATCTTGGAGTCGTCGGGATTCTAGCGTGTGTGTTTAATTTGGAGGTCAGGCTTGACTCTCGGTTTGACTCTCATCCACAGCTTTCAGGATACGAGTTTGACTTGAGCTTTTTTTTGAGGTCGACTTCGATAAAGTATTTGTGTTGACGTCACTAACGTCTTGGATCTTGGAGTCGTCGGGATTCTAGCGTGTGTGTTTAATTTGGAGGTTGGCTCAGGCTGGGCGGCCCAGGCGGTCCTCACTTTTGGTCAATCGCGCGCCAGGCTTGACTCTCGGTTTGACTCTCATCCACAGCTTTCAGGATACGAGTTTGACTTGAGCGTTTTTTTTATTTCGACTTCGATCAAGTATTTGTGTTGACGTCACTAACGTGGCTTTGGGGTTGATACCCGAGTTCGCCTTTGGTCAAGTTTGAGGCGGAAAGAGGAGGGGGCCGGGGGGAGGGGGGGTGTCACGAATCCGTAGAAGAGCGTTTGCTTTATGAGTGACAAGCAGAGGACGGGTGAGAAAGCGGGGCGGGAAGGAGGGGGGGGTCCTCCACCCGAGCCCGAGCCTGATCGGGATATCTTTGTCGTTTTGTTGGCGCTCAGAACCGCTACGAAGATGACCTCAATGATGCTCAATGCTGCAGAGAAGGGCCAGGAGATGGTCGAGGGAGCGTCGAGGTATGTCTCGATTACTGTAGAGAGCATTATGCCTGATCCCTTCAGCAGATGGTTGACTCGATTTCGGCAGATGACTTATTTTCAATGGTTCCTGCTTGCTGTGATGGGCCTATTTTTGGCGGTAATTACTCCCCCCGCTTTGATCTTGTTAGGTTTGTTTTCCGCGGTGGCTCTGCCCGTGGCTGCCGTCACTTCCCCCTTTTGGGGCCCCGTGGCCGTGGTGTTTTTGGCGCTCACTTTCCCTCTCTGGAGTCCTGCTTTGGCGGGATTGGCCATTTTTCAGTGGGCGGGAAGAATGGCGGGCAAGGTGAAGGAGGGGGTGACCAAGCTGGAGGGACACCTTCCTAAGCCCGCTAGAGGGGTGATCGGCTGGTTCAGAGGCATGAGTCGGGCGAAGCAGGTGTTGGCGCTCTTCGCCCTGGCCGCTGCCACCGTCCTCGGCATCGGCGCGCTTCTGGTTGTCGGGACCCCCGTCGTCGTTATTGGCGGGGGGCTGATGCTCTTTTTCTCGCCTGTCATTCTGTTGACGTCACCGCTGTGGATTCCGGTTGTGCTCTTCTTCCTCGCCGTTGCCGCAGTGGTGTTGGGCGGCGCCGGCTTCCTCGTCGCCATGGCGGTGAGCGCCTACTGGCTTTATCGGTATTACCGAGGGCCGATGCCGCTTGGGGGAGAGTCGGTCTTCAAATTGCAACGTAAGATGGGGGGGATGCTGGACCGCACTAGGCAGACGATCGCGGGGAAGGCCGTTTAACTTTGCCAGACTGTTCAGCAGAAGACAGGGTAGGTAATGTGGGCTTGGGCACGATCGTGTGGTGCCATTAGCTAATGGCTTCGGCTGGTGCAAATTTGTCTTCATTGTGTGGTGGCTATGGCTACTTCGATTGTGCATGTGTGTGACCGGGTACACCGGATCACGGGGAAAAACGAGTAGGGGTGAAGTGCTCATCTTGGGGCTTAACTTTGACCCCGGTCCACTTTACCGTTTGGTTGAGTGTTTGCCTCCGGATAGGGAGGTCACGTGTTCGATCCTTGCACAGTGCGGACTTATAAATAATGTATTTACAAATACAAATATTTACAAATGCAAAAATTTACAAATGTGGGCTGGCATGCATGAAATAGGGGTTGTGTTTTGGGACCGGAGAATTACTGCGGCGCCGCACAGTGATATTCTGACCAGGAGGGTCGAAGGGAGTTCGTTGTATGTACTAAAGGGGTGTGGCTTAGGGGTCAATTCGAGAGGAGTAATTTCAAAGATGGAGAGTTTGACAGGGGTTGACGAAGTTTAAAGGGGGTTTTGCCGCAGTGCGGCTGTTGGCATCCACTGCATTCGATCCTGCTGAATTGTGTCGTCGTACACTTAACTCACCGACGCGGATGACAAATCGACCGACGCAGATGACAAATGGACAGTGCCCATAGAGGGTCGTTTTTTTAAGGTGGGGAAAAAAACGGCTCTACAGCCTCTACAGTCTAGACTGGCTAGGGATTTGTGGTGGAGCGTGAAATTGCCGTGAATGTATATTTAATGCCCGCATGGTAGCTTCCTCTTACGTTTGACGCTCAAAGTAAATCTGCGTCAAAGTCAATCTGGTGTTAATCTCACCGGTGGTCAAGCAGTGTGGTCTACCGTGCCGATCGCGAATGTTGACGTTGATGGCAGCATGCTTATCACTTCTTCCTAGACGTTTTAACTGGAGTGTACTTCTTTAGACGTTTTAACTGGAGTTTATCTTCTTTAGACGTTTTAACTGGAGTTAATCTTCTTTAGACGTTTTAACTGGAGTTAATCTGACGGGCGGGTTTGTAGTTCGGTAATCAGTGTGTTAGCCGTGGTGCTGTTTTACGGTTTTAGTGAGTCACACCTACCACAGTAAATAAGTTGTACTAGCTATGCAGCTCAGTGAAATGAATTACCATCAGGTGATGGTGTAGGTTACCCAAGCCTACCACAGTGAATAAGACGAAAGTGTTCGAAGCTCGTGGTGAGGGAAGGATTATCACCCGGTAGCGGTTGAGCTAACTGTAGAATGCATTACGGAACGTAACGGGTTTTTAAGTGCGGTGAGTTTGTTGTTAAGGGCCTCACCGGTCATCGAAGTAACTGGGGTAGAGAGCCTTCCACGTGGCTGTCGGGCTTGTTGGTGCGGAGGGAATTTGATTAATCGACTTCTCGTTTTTTTTTTCTTCTTTTCTTTTTCTTCTTCTTTTAACACCCCGGCCGGTGTTAATGCTGCTTATAAGAGCAGACACCACTAACACCTAGGGAGAGGCTCCATCTAATGGTGGGGAGCATCACCTGCTGGAAAACGGGTCCTCTCCTTGATGAGGAGATTAAGAAATGTGCGATCGTGGAAGTCGTGCCTATAATATGAAAGTTGATGAAAGTGCCGACGGTGGACGAGAGGGATGTCGCCGTACAAAATGTACCCGTGCATGAATCTTGACAGAAATGCCGACGATGAAGGAGATGGATGTTGCTGTACAAAATGTACCCGTGCATGAATCTTGACGGAACTGCCGGCGATGGAGGAGATGGATGTTGCTGTAGAAAATGTACCCGTCGCGTTTTGGACGGGTGTGTGTCACAAGGATGGCGGCGGTAGAGGCTGACAAGGGATGATCGTCGGGCTTGAACAATATAGAGGGGTGCTCGAAGAAAGGGGTCTTTGAAGTCGGAGTCGGAGATATAATTGGCAAATAGCCACTTGGCTGTTAATAAAAAAGTTGCTTCATTCCTAATGCGGAAATTGTTGACTTCAATAAGTAATTGGTTGTTGCGTCTCCCAAAAAAAAAAAAAAAGAATGGAGCATGTAAGGGGGGAGGGGGGCGGAAGGGGCAAGTACGCTGGAGTCACACCCTTTTTTCTTTTTTTTTAAAGCCCAGGGTGTTGTAGAGGCCAAGGACCAGACCCGTGGTGATTGCTGGTAGCGGCAGCCAATGGTTGTCCTGACAGGATAGGCCACCTAGCCTACCCATCCCCAGTTAATACTCCCAGCGCACCCCCTGTCCCTACTATCACATCCTACATTCAGAATAGGCAACTTTAGCAGTTCCCGAAATCATGGCTCAAAAAAGGCGACCCCCCTAAATCTGCCAACCCGCCCTGCGGGTAATGACTGGTGCAGTTTCAGACCCCTGCTAAACGTGCACATTTCAAAACTCACAGCATGACATAGGCGCCACTTAGTCTTCTCTTGCCTATTTCAAATTACAAACTAAAAAAAAAAAAAAAAAAAAAAAAAAAAAAAAAAAAAAAAACAGCAAACTGAAAGAGTGCCACAGCCACAGTTTTCCCAAAAAAAGAAACTTAATAAAAGGAGGTTTCTTCACAGTCATAAACTGCGACTTTTTAACTTTTCTTTTTAACCCATCTGGAAGGCCTCTATTTCGGTGGTATTAAGAGAGCCCTGCAACTTTCTATGCATAGCTCCAAGGTACAGCTGTAAGGGTGGAAAATGCCATTCCTTTTCTGCTGTTTTTTCTGCTGTTTTATCTGCTGTTTTATCTGCTGTTTTTTCTGCTGTTTTTTCTGCTGTTTTTTCTGCTGTTGTTCTGTTTGTCAATTTTTGCTCTTTCTGCACTAGGGTTGATTTCTGCTAGGGACGGGTATGAGATAGGGAGATCATTACTTGGCCTTTGCTGTGCATATTTTACACTTGGGTAGAGTTTTTTCTTGGTATTATTTCTCTTTCTTTGGTCCCTTGTCACAGGGGACAGGCTCGACTACAGTAGCTGGGCGCAGCTCCAGACCTCCTGGCCCCTGGATTTTAAAACTTCGTGCTGCATTTTATTTTTTGCCTTGGGCACTGGGCCCGTAATAAAGCTTGTGAAAAACGGAGAAAGACACAAAAACAAAAACAAAAACGAAAACAAAATCAAAAAGTCAGGGTGGGAAATCCTCTCTTGCTTCCCCTTTTTCTGATGCTCATCTGGCTTCCTACAGAAAAGGTCCCGTACTCCTGCAGCCCTTTGAAAGGTGTCCATTTAACTCCATTAGTTCAATCTAAAGGTGTCCATTTAACTCCATTAGTTCAATCTGAAGTTCCGGGCATGGTTTCAACTCTTAGGGTCAGATCCCACTACCCTGGATTATTCATTTTTCACCCTCGATTACGACGATCGACGGTCAGAAATGAACAATAGGGGCTAGTGGGATCTGGCCCTTAGTACTATATTAAATATTTGCATGGCCATGCTTTCGGCTCTGTGGAGCTGAATAAGCTGATCAATCCCATGCATTTCCGTTCCAGTGGTACGCATAGCAATAAGTAAGCAGGGCCGTGGGGTTGCCCGGGGCTAGGTCCCACTCACACGAATTAAGAGATATTGACCGTAGATAGCACAGATCAACGGTCCGAATCTCATAATCCGTTTAAGTGGGACCTTGAGCACGGAATAAAGCACCAGGCGGCTGGCACATCTTTTTTTTTTTTTTTGCAAAGCCAAGAGTCCGGAATCGAAAATTTCACAAATGAAACAGGGAGGGGAGGTATGAGATGATGAACGTTTGACAAACCGAAGAGCTCAGGAACGAAAATTCCGTCGTCGAAGGAAGAAGGCAAATTTAAACAGTTTGGCCTGCTGTCTCGAGACATGTAGGCAGTCTCGGAGTTTGCGAGAGGGAGAGTTGAGGTGGCTGGGGACATCAAAAGCAGCATGCAATATTTTTTTTGTCTCAAGTGTGGACTCAGGACTGTGATCGATTGAGAAATTGAGAGAATGCTAGAATCCCGCGTGGCTGCTCTTTCAATGACTGGTCAAAAAGCGTCATAACAGGGTTCACCGTTTTTTTCTTTCACCGGATCACTGGGATCAGTAAAAAAAATGTTTTTTTCTTTCACCGGATCAGTAAAAAAAATTGCATTCAACGAGCGGTTACTATGCTATAGAAAGGCTCTCGCATGATCTTCCACCGCATCAATACATCAAGTTCAGAGGCCACCACCTCCATGAATCGCTCTGCATGAATGCTTCCGCGGCAAATGCCAAGATTCACACGCGCTGCATCCGCCATTTGCTGGTTGTTAATAAATCGTGCAATCTCAAAGAACTTCTCAAAGTACACGGCGGCTCGATCGAACTTCTTCTGCTGGTGGTAAATTATGCCCAATTTGCAACAAGCCTTAGCCTGCAATTTTTTCATCATCAAAGAGGCCCACAACAGGACGCAAGGACCACCAGCAAGAACCGGCAGAACGAAAGTCTTAGGGCGTTTCATTTCGAGTAAGGAGGGCCTGCATGAAAGCCAGAATCACACATACTCTCATTGACAAGCAATTTGAAGCAAACCAAAAAAGTCCCCAGTCTTCTAAAGCGGATCCAGCAAAGCGATTGCAAATGGCATGAACAACTCTACAGTCAGGAGGGCTACCCTTTTCTTTCTTTCTTTTTTCTTTTGTTTTTTGGGTAACCGTTACGATGCTCCAATCGTTTTTGTGGGGAGCAGCAGCACGTGCTGATGGTGCTGGGAACGGGGCCCAGCGTCCCGTAGGAATTTATACGGAACAGTGGGTCATAGGTTCAATTCCTAGTGAGTTGATCTTGGACTTCTTGTGTATAACAAGCACTGCCAGTGGGAGTCTGTGAGATACCCGGGCTGTTACCTGGTTTGGCTGAGGAAAACGAAAAATCCTGGAAGAACTACTGAGGTATTCAAGAACTGGGGCTAACAAGGATACTCTTGAGTCATGAGAAATCAACATATTAAACGGACGACGGAAGAACTACTGAGCTAGGCTGCCACCTGCTGTTAGGACCTACTAGTAGGGATGCTTTTGGGGAGGTTTCGGGAGAGGTCTGTTTCAGTAAAGGGATAGGATGACTATATAAGGGATGCAAGGCGTAGGTATGGCCTCCGTGAGTCGTTGAGGTATTCTGGTGTTTGCACTGGGAGTGATCCCCCTGAAGAGTCTGCTGGCGGGGTGGACGAAATGTGTCAGGGAATGGCCGCGTGTGTTATGATTTTCAGTGACCCAATGGACTATCATGCTTTTCTAATCTCAGAGCTGGTTCTCTATGCTGTTTTCATGATTCTTCTCGGTGATATTGTGCGCCACATTTGCTTTCGTCTTCTTAACTGCATTACGGGGAATATGGCTCTGTTGCCACTGTTGGTGCATCTTCTTTGTCCGTTCTCATGCAGCTTAGACAGTCTTGCCGGGCTGTTGTTCTTTTTCCGAATTTCGTGACAACCTGCAGTGCGGTTGAACATTGGGTGGTGGTCGCGTCTTCGGTAGGTTAACCTTTTGCTATGGATCGATTATTGATAAAGTGTGCCATCATGGCAGGGCGATCCGGCGCGTACTCCAGAACCGCCGCGGGAAGAAGACGAAAGAGATGGAGGCGCCACCGCAGAGGGATCATCAAGAAGCCGGCGCCGCCGAAGAAGTCAATCGCTCTCCCAATCCTCCCCAGTTCGATCGCAGCCCTTCATTTACGTCAAGATGAGGGCACACGGGCTTCGTCCCCGGTCGTTATCCCGTCGTCCCCGTGACTTCCTCACCCTCCAACAGCTCTCAGGGAGACCCCCATTCCCCGATGGGTGGCAGCCGTTCCCCCTCTCCTTTTTCTACTACCGCTACGCCACCCGCCTTTTGGTCACCATCTTCCCGCACTCTGTCACTCGCTCGCTCGTCACTTCGTTCCCCTTCCACGTCCTCCTTCTTAGCGTGGAATGGCAAGAATATAATCATATAGAGGTCTATTGCGTCATCGTGGGCACGATCCCCGCGTGCGAAGAATATGACGATTTCCGCGCTGCCATCCGCCGCACCCTCTGCACCCTCTACCCTGACTACCTCGCCTCTCTCCCCCATCAACGTCGGCACCCTCGCTTTCCTCGCATCCATCGCTCCATTCATTACGTCCCACTCCCTTCTAGTGATGAGAAAATTACTTGCTTCATGCCTCCTCTCCCCCAAGTCTATCCACCACATCCCCCACCCGTAATTAGATTATCTTTCCCAGGCAACGTTTTTGATTGAGCGCACGTATGCCACGTCGGATGGCTTCCACACTCAGATCCTACGGTAAGTGGCACGTGTGAGCTCCATGTCGATCATCGGGTTAAGGGATCGGCGCATGAAGTGTGTGAGCAAGCAGGAGCTTGCTCAAGATTGGAACCCCCTGGGCGTCACACTGGCATATGTGACGAACCATTTTCTGTAACCGCGCGACTTTCTGCACGAAGCTGCCTTGGGGAAACGAGACGGGTCGGAGGGGTAAGTTGCAGGAAGATGGTTGGTCAGGCTGATTGCGTGGATGCCCTCGTTTCTTTTTGTTTTCTGTGGAAATCTGTCAGGTCGGTGTCGGGAAAGTCCCACGCCGGCGATTGGGTAACCGCGCCTTAGCGAGCGCAATGGACAACGGTTGTTATGGTCCCTTTCTTGTTCTGCTGTGAGCACTAGGAATTTTGGCGCGATCATCGCGCGGGAATATCGTTTTTGAATTTTCAACTGACGTCGAGCCCCCACGGGCTCGCGGAATTGTTTTTGGGCTCTTAGGAAGTTCCCTTTTGCAATTAGGAATTAGGCTAGGAATTTAGCTACTCTGAATTCTGCTACGCCGCGCTTCTTACTCGTGCACATCTCGCGACATTAGGAATTGGGCTTTGACTGAATCGCGCCCTTAATCCTGCGTAACTGTCGTTTTTGGCGGGCACGATTGTAACTGTATCTTTCTTCTTTCTTGATTTCCTCGTGTTTACTCGCCTTTTCCTTCTTCCTCGCTTTGCATCCTCTGTTCTAATTGACCTGAACGCCTGCATGACCGGATCGATGCCTGGAGTGTGGCTATGACCCTCACGCTGCGGCCTGGCCATGCAGACGTAGGCACTTCTTCTCTTCTCCTCTTGACCTCTTGAGCTTAATCCCGTACCTTTCGCGCAAGCATGCCTGCTATAAATTTTGCAAGCGCGATTGGTTTGCTCTCTAAGAACCTTGGAGTTAACGAGATCAGTGAGGGTCGGCTAACGAGTCAGCTTGAGAGTTGAGTCGACGAGAGAGTTGGGCGATCCGACGAGTTGGTGTCGGGTATGCGGGGTTGACGTGCGGCGGGGCCGCGACGGACTGTGGCGCACGGGCGAACCTGGCTTGCATGCTCGAACCAAGCGGGGTGACAACTCTGAGTTGGTGCGAGGCGATGGACTGCCCGCATCGGGAGTGGAGAGAGAGAGAGCAGTTGTGGGTGTGGGATGCGGTTCTTTCTTTTGTTTATCTGTATAATTTTGGCTCTTGCTATGGTCGATTTTGTTGCGGCCTTTTCGGACTTCTCTTTGTAAATTATCTCGGATTTTCTTTGTTGTTTCTGCCTCGTGTATGCATGGAATGAATGTGGACTCTTTCCCGTTAGTGATCTTTTCGGATTTCCAATCTTGTTTTGCGGCCTGTTTCGTCACCCTCTATTATCCATCTGCATGAGCCATACTCTCAGATCTGATTGGAAGCACTCGCTATGGATGTTTGGGTTCAATCGTTAGTCTTTGATCACCAAGAATGTTGTGAGGAGTTGATTGTTTTTTCCCCTTTTTTTTCTCCTTTTCGTCACACATATGACATGGATTTGAATGTAATGTCTGGATATCGCACAACATAGCATGAGCAGGATAGTTGCATGGAGGCCGAACGTGATCGGTACACGGAGCCTAGGACCGCTCCACTTCCTCTCATGTGCTCGCTCGCGTACAACCGCGACCTCGAGAAAGCCGAGTCGCCGCGTACTCGCTCGTCTGCATGAGTTGACCTTGAACTCAGTATAAGGATGCAGGGGACCGAGTTCACTAAACGGATATGGTTGTGGGATTTCCCTCTTGGATCCCCGATCGTGAGAGCCTGAGGGACCCGGAATATCGCGAATACTGGGAAGGTGAACAACTCAGACAGCGGGAAAACTTAAGAAACCCGGAATTCCCCTATCTGACAAAGAATGACCGATTGTGCGCAAGGGACTTTCAATGTGTCGTAACTAACGATCCTAGGGGCCCCGACTACCCGGATACTTATAACACGCAATATTACATATTCCTCGGCTTCGTCGTTATTACCACCAGTTTCCCTCCCTTTCACCTCCTTCTTCCATATCACCAGCTCACAATGGTGCCGTGGAATTTCATAGCTGGCTATTGGCCCCGCACACCGTGCGAAAAGTGCCAGCGGCACCAGGCATATCGAGCTTCTGAAATTATTCGGCAAACCCGAACTGAAGCCGAGCGGCGCCGACAACTGGTCGAACCACGCGATCGCACTACAACCCACAAAACCGACCACAGCGACGCGACTGGCAGAGACGATAATCCCATACGCGATCTTCGCGTACCGTCTTGTACCTTCGTCTCGAAACTTGCCACTGGAGATCTCAGTTCCGACCTGGGACTCCACCCCCACATTCTTAAAATCCTTGGCAAACCCCCTTTTTCGCACTTCCAAGCCCCCATCCTACTCCGATCAGGAAGTCGCGCCTCGCGTGAGGTTGGGCGTCACACCCCACCCTCCAACGTCCGCGTAGTCCCCCAATGTCCCCCAACGGCTACTGTTGGCGGTGGGCCTCCATTGGGTGGCATCGTCGTTTTCGACCGGCATCATGCGGTCTCGCGCGCTCGATGAACGTATGCCTAGTCCCCCAACGCCCCCAAACGGCTACTGTTGGTGGTGGGCCTCCATCCGGCAACGTCGTCGTTTTCGGCTGGCATCAACGGTCGTAATTTTTTTTTTTTCCCGGCGGCGCCTTCAGTCCATCCAGAGAAGAGGTTTCTTCACAAGCGTCATATTCCCATGCATGTCGTCACATGCTGCGCGTCCGATAAGACTCTTGCCTTCTCCGCCGTCGTGTGCTCATTGCTGCCCTCTCCACCGTGCAACTCATGGCTGACCTATACCGCAGGCTCCCTCTGCTGCTCCTCATCCCTGTGCTACTTCTGGTGGTCCCTCTTCTGCAGCGCTGTCCTGCTTCTCGTTGAAGTAGCCATCCGTGGCATCGTCACATTGTCGAAGGTCTTCCCATGCCCCCCCCGTCCTGCGTTTGATCCACCACCTCGGTGTTGCTCGTGCAATGACGCCACAACCCAACGTGTAGCACAACTCAATGACAGCCTCCGAAGTTGCCACGTAGTTGGGGCCGTCATCCGCAACTTGC